CACGATTTTATATGTCATTATTAATTAATCCCTCTTCTTCACATTGAGATTCGCGGAAATTTCCCAGCCGTTACAACGGGTAATATTATTGAGAACACCATACTTGACCCACCAAAAGTCAATAAATGTCCTAAAATCAAAGAGATGTTAATAAACCATTTTTATACTCTCGCAACCTGTTGCTACAGAGTATAATAGTTTTGTTCACCTAACGGTTGTTTGTATCACCTAAAACTAATCGAGTTAGATATAGGGTTATATATATACAAATGATCAGGATGAAGAGACGAGTTGAAATCAGGGTGACTGTCTGTCCGTCCGTCCGTCTGTCCGTCCGTGCAAGCTGTAACTTGAGTAAAAATTGAGATATCTTTATGAAACTTGGTAGACATGTTTCTTGGTACCGTGAGACGGTTGGTATTGCAGATGGGCGTAATCGGACCACTGCTACGCCCACAAAACGCCATTAATCAAAAACAAATAAATTGCCATAACTAAGCTCCGCTATAAGATACAAGACTGTTATTTGGTACACAGGATCACATTAGGGAGGGGCATCTGCAGTTAAAATTTTTTGTAAGAAGTAGGCGTGGTCCCGCCTCTAATACGTTTAATGTGCATATCTACTAAACCGCTAACGCTATAATAACAAAATTCACTGGAAGCAAATGTTTTTAGAACCTCTACCTACAGTGTGAAAATAGTTGAAATCGGGTGGCAATTCCGCCCACTCCCCATATAACGGAATGTTAAAAACTACTAAAAGCGCGATAAATCAAGCACTAAATACGCCAGAGACATTAAATTTTATCTCTGAGATGGTATGAGATGACTTTATAGGAACCGCGTTCAAAATTAGACACTGGGCGTGGCACAGCCCACTTTTAGGTTAAAACCCATATCTTGGGATCTGATTAACCGATTTCAACCAAATTCGATGCATAACGTTCTTTTCATATTTCTATGTTAAATGGGCTAAATCGGACTACAACCACGCCTATTTCCCATATAACACCATTTTCAATCATTTAATTCTTTCACTTTCCACTATGCATATCAAGCAACAATGTTTATATCGGGGTAAAACTTTGCGTGAATAATACGTTTAATGTATGCCACCTTGTGACCAAAAATTGTCTTAATCGAACCAAAACTGTGCAAGCCCCTAAGTACTAAATATGTGGACCCCAGTGTCTATAGTTGACCTTCTACCGAAAATATCAGTCAATCCACAAAGAAATCTCAAACGAGTATACCATTTGACTTTGCGAGAGTATAAAATGTTCGGTTACATCCGAACTTAGCCCTTCCTTACTTGTTTTTCGTTAATAATGTCAACAATTAGATTTGGCTCTGCGCGCTTGGATTTACAGCTGATATTTTCTAAAAATGTAATATCACGACTCACAAGAAACTTGTTGTCAGATTTTTGGTAAACATGATATGCTTTTGATAAAACGCAATATCCAACAAAAATCTTGTGCCGCTGAACGATTTTGTGCTAATTGGACCAAGCACGTCCGAATGTTAAGGGTGTTTTTTTAGAGGTATAGAACTTTAAATTGGAATAAAACAACGAGAGATTATTCGATTGACATACATTTTATTTATCCGAAAGATAATCTTGTGGCATTAGATTTTAAATATGGTTTACAGAATATGACACAGCATATATACAGCAATGTCCTAAAATCAAAGAGATGTTAATAAACCATTTTTAAATTTCGCAACAATGCCGCTTTCAGAAGAGCGCTGATCGCTTCAGGAGAGCTTGACAACGGCCAACTCAGTAAAACAACAGCTACTCAATGACACAGCACAATCGCTTTCCAGTCCACTACCGTTATTTTGCTAGTACCACCGCTATGTATCAGGGAAACACCAACAGACCCCAGTAGATTCGGCGACTACTGTCGGCAGTGTTAATCCCCCCCGATTGTTTGACCGCGTTCCTGACACAAAATACCTGGTAGCGCAGACATCTTCGCAACGCAGCGTCGTTTCAACGTTTCATCAACGATGTTCTTTCCAATCTTGATTTCGCCTACGCATACATCGACGACCTCCTCATAACCTCAAGCAATGAATGACAACACTAACAACATTTGCGTTTGATATTTCAGTGGCTCAGCCAATACGGCCTTTGCAACAATGTAGACAAATGCGTCTTATGCTCAACCAACGTCGAATTCCTCATATATCAAATTTCCTTGCTTGGCTCAACACTACTAAATGATCGGGTGCAATCGCTCCG